CCATCATCCATAATCCGTGGCAAGCTCCGGCGATCTGCAGAGGGCGGTGTGTGTCTGTGCACGGAGAAAACGTTGGCGGCACATCCCGCTGGAGGGGAGGCTACCTAGAGTAGAGTAGCTGGACTGGGGGAAATGGAACGAATCTCATAGGTGTAGGTAGTCTATCTACAAGCTGTTCAAGCCTGCTGGACTCCTCACCCCTCCCTCCCTCCCTGGGGCCGCCATCAATCCCATCAGACCGGTCATGGTCAAGAGTACATAGGTAATTTCAGCTACTCTAGCTGTTGTGTGTACCTGCATATATTCCGTCCCAGCACCACGGGCTGGGCGGGTCGGGGTGGAGATGGGTATGGAGATGTAAATGCATTGGGTATTTGATACTTAGTACTTACATAGTTACGTACCAAGTACTCTAGATGGTAGGTGGCATTAGACCTTTGAATCCGCCCTTTGCACATCCCCGTGCCCCACCCCCACGTTTCGCGAGATGTACGTTCGGCGACTTGGGAGGGGCCGGCCTTTGTTAGTTTGGTACTTGCTATAGAGTCAGGGACGACCCCGGGGCTAAGAGCACTTATATACTTAAAGTAGCGGGCCGCGGTGAGCAGAGGACATCACGCGCACGGCATGGGGGAAGCAAAGGATTCGATTGGCTATAAGACATATTATACAGATGACAGATGGAATAGGCATTGCATTGCGTCTTGGTAGTCCGTCAACTACACAGAGCAGCTATTGCATGAAACGTGGGTTTGGCGTTCTGGGTTGCGGTGAGGCCCGGATGGCAACATGGCATGAAGGAGGCCTAGGAGAGGCTGCTCTCGGAGACTACTCTAGACTGGAGAGACCCGGCTGTCGGCATGCATTGAGGACTTCTTTGTATAGAGAATACCACGTACCACTCTCGGATCCGGCCATAGACTACATGTAGCTGTACACCCGCCTACCCGTTCAGCCGGCTGTCTGTCTGTCTGGTGATGCGATTGTATACTGTACTTCTGGACCGGCATTGTGGATAGATAAAGAATCCTGGATAGAGTAAACTCTTGCGCCTTACAAGCACCTCCTATGATACGGCTACAGCCAGATCCAGCGCAGCGCAGTGCTGTTTATGGATATACATTGCAAGATTGCCCCATCAAACCCAGACGGGTATATGGCAACTACCGGCGCGGCGCGGGTACATGCTGTACAGCTCCCGGTGGCGGGTGTGGGCTGGTGCTGGTTCCCGTGGACGGGTTCTAGAGGTGATCATGGGGTGTCACTCGGTTTTTGGTCTGGGTACTGGTGGGATTACATGATACGGAACATGGCTGGATCTTGTCTTACCGACTTCTTGGAGGGCTTTTTTAGGCTCTGTGGATTAAATGTACGTGGAGATTGTAGAGATATATGTGTGTATATATATTCATATATTCATACGAGGTTTTGGGAATCGTTGATGGCGTGCCAGTCCCGGCGACAGATCGATGAGAAATGTGGGTGCGTTACTCTATACACTTATATACATAGCAAGCCAGAGTTTCGTTGCTCGCATCCCGAAATCACCGGCCTGGGATCTTTCACGCATACCGCACATACAGCCACTCAGCAAAAGTGTTCGTGATATAGTTTTAATGTCGGTGCGCAGTGTGGCGCACCCGTAATACTGATGTTATTAAAGTTGAGATTCAAAACAACGATAAATATATAATATAGTTCGTGACTATATATAAAAAGAGGATAGGTTATTGATCTTATTCTTCATTAACTTGGGCGCCATTGGTCACTGGGAAGGTCTTCTCTTGGGGGTTCTTGATGGCCCACCGCGGTTACATATGGAGAAATGTCTTACTCCGAAATCGGAATCACGAACACTTTTGCAGAGTGGCTGTACATTCACGGTTTAGAGTTCCCCCCCGTTCTTCTTCGTATTACTGAGAGGCCTGCCGTTTGTGGTATACGTGTCGATTAGATCAGCGGCTTTAGATATGTCTCATACATCCCGCCACAGCCGGGATTTATGCCGCAGTTGAATGGTTGAATGTCGGAACCGGCACCGGGTAGATTGCGGTGCCGGCGTGGGCATGGCGCAGGTTAGTCACAACCCATCACTCGCACGTACCCTGCGGCAATCTACAGCGTTCGGCCGAGATCTGTGTTGGTTCCGCTGCCGTAGTTCTAGATATCATTTCTCCCGCTGGAGTTGGTTAACTACATGTACATACATGTACTTTCTTCATATGTATACTATACATGTATGTATATATACAAGTATGTCTCGGTAGTGATGTGATGTAGCAACGCGTGTAATATCATTGACTGCTAGAATATACAGGGTCATGTTATGATACAGAGATGAAGAATGGCCGCTTGATATATGGGTGTCTGTACTAAACAAAACTATAGTTTCGGGCGTTTGCACACTCAAGCTTGTAAAGAGACCATATTCGGGGAATATTGTGAGTAGTAGAAAGCTCAATCCCGTACCCGGTAGGTACATAGCACTGGCTAGCTCTGTCCCAAAATCTATTGACCGCAATGCTCTCGGGATATGCCGGAGCTCTGAGTGCAAGGAGCTGAAGGGTTACATTATTTTAGAGTATTAGTGGTATGACAGTAACATGCACTTGGCATTTGACATTCACCCTCATGATCAGCTATATGCTAGGCCTATCGCAACTAGGCAATTTGTTAACTATCTGCCCTTTGCCATTACTGCAGCAGCAGTCAATTTTTATCCAGCTCAAAGTCTGCCTATCTCTTCCTCTTTTGCAAATTATATTATGCTTGCATGCTTTCGTTTCGTTCTCTGGAAAGTAGGAGAAGTTTTCTTCTCCAGCCCCTCTAGAGTAAGAATAACCGTATATTTAGCTTTCGTAGCCCTCTGTCCGCCAAATCTTTTTTAATTATAAAATGGGAACATGCTATGGCTTTATTCTCGGTCTCCCTGTTTAAATGGAACCGCGAAGTTACGTGCGGTTGCTGTAATCTTTGGTGTGTTAGTGTCTCCTTTGAATGTGTGGTTTTTCTTCCTCTTTGTGTATATGTAGCTTTTCTCCTTTGTATATAGTTTATTCTTTTATTCTTTTGTGTTTAGTTCATTTCGTTTTCTCTCTCTATATATAATTGATTTTCCTTTGCCAATGACTCATTGTTTTCTCTCATCTGAGTACATGTATCCCACTTGCACGTTGCGGGGCATGTTGGGCACCAAAAACGTGTACTGTCCCGCGGGGGGGGGCAGGATACGTGACAGTAGATTACGTATTGTTGGGTGACAAAAGATCTCGTGATTTTGTACGAGGTCATGACTCTACGACCACAAAAGATATAAAGAAGATATTAATATGGCCAGAGAGCTAAAGATTGATAGAACATATCTCCTAGGTATGAATCCCGATTGCCGGCTTTGAAGATTAGTCTTGTAGGTAATTTCTGCTGGTTGCTATGCGAAAATCACAAGAACTTTGTCACCTCAGAATATGTATGTTACAACTGCGGACTTATGGCAGGTGGCGTGACAACTTGTCCTCAATTTGTGTTGTATAAATATAAATGCTCTAGTTATAGTCCTATCAATACATCATCGGTCTCTTCTCTCATCCAGTTGTTAGTGTTTCTTAATAGACATCAGAACACCCACAGCCTTACAGTACTTATAAAGAACTCAGAGAAGCAGTGATAACAGACCCGTTTTTGGAATCCTCCTCATGTAACGGTTTAGCATATTTGGGTTAGACTTGAAACAGCATCGTAAGAAAACCTATCCTCTCGTAATATATATTCATCGGCCTCAATCAATTATAAGTCATCTCATAAACTACACTGCTGCCACTACTATTGGAGCGAATTAGTTGCAGATCTAGGCTGACGTATGAGAATACAGGCAGTGCTAAAGGTGTTTGTTGTAAGTTAGAGTTTGAGGTGTCGCCATTAAAGTCTAAACTAACAACGACGACGAAAACCTGAAACAGCCAAGTATTTTCATTACAAGAGCTCGTTATCGACCCTAAAGCTGCTATAAATCTTTATCTATCATATCTATGTTGAACGGTACCTAACAAGCATGCCCGAACGCACTTGGTAGAGAGGACTGACTTAAAGAGATTCATAGATTATCACTCGGGTTTCGATTACAGTGTTTTAACGCGATGTTCCCACCCACCAAGCTAGCGCCACCACGATAACAAACACCAAACACCAGTTCCACACCGCCTACAACATCTGCATCTGCCAATCTCTGCCTTTGGATGCGAGTCATGCGGCCCGCCATGACCGCGGCACGAGTGATATCCTGTGACAAAAAAAGAGCCAGACCCCGCGCGTGCGGCTCTCGGCTATGCCGCCCTGACAATGCGTTGCCTCGGGTACTCTCCAGAGAGTACGGAACAATTCAAATACCAATTAACTCAACCTCCCATTGCCCGCAAGATTCCCACCCATGCGTTCCGACCCTCCCATTCCCAGCCTGCCCACACATCATGAGCCCAAACGGGCCGAAGGAAGGGGAAAAACAATAAAAAGCGGCGAATAGTGCATCTTAAGCACAAAAGCTGCCGATCGACCACAGAAAAAAAAAAGAGAGAGAAAAAAAAAACAATCCCCCAAAACATACAGCGTGTTTCCTGTTATGTGATCTATCGCCCGGCGCCCCCCAACTACCGGCTGGCTGACTGGCTGACATGATCCACACGTTACAGATTTATGACGTCCGCACACATTCTGGCTAGCTGATTGCTCTATATAATACGTATGCCCTATCTGGGCCCGACCCCCCCCAAGCCTCGCCTCACTATATTGCAAACAATCGGTGAGGGGGCCGGATCAGAGGGGAGGGAAATGCTTCCCGACCTACCTCGAGCGTTCGCTACCCGCGGCCACATGCAACATCCGGGATATAATGGGCGGCCGATGGAGGGAGGAAGGTTCTTTATATCGCGCACGCAGCAAGTCACGATACCGATCCCGGAGGATTAGCCGCATTCGCCATTGCTCTAATCTAGGTGTCTGGCTGGTCGATGTCCCGATTAGGCCGGCCGCGGCCCCCACGGTATATCAGACGGACAGCTTCGATGCGGAGTGGAGAGGGGAATAACTAATTGATATGATTGCAGATCAGGGTCTGATGGAAAGTGGGGGGAGGTTCTGGATCGGGGTTCAACGACGTTAACTAGCTTGGGCGGGTTGTGTCATCGGATATCACTCGGATGCAGGACAGTTTCTGTTGAGGTCAATGCTAAGCGCCGGCACGGAGGATTACGAACTACGCAGCAAGAATGGCGGAGTTATTTATGCCTAAAGTATGTTATAAGAGAATTCATTTTAATCAGGTAGTTCTTATGGCGATTCTACGGGGTGTTTAGTATTTGCTAATTAGTCTATAACTAGGCAATATGCCGGCGTTTCCTTCTCACGTTCGGACAGCTAACGCGGAAAGGTAATCTACGCTATAAGAAATTTTCTCATCATTTTTTCGCCAAAGGAATGCATTCCCAGGCTAGGGAACCGTCCGAGTGAAAAACTGGAACGGCTGGTCCCGTTCTAGTTCTACTCGAGCCTTCTAGAGTGACATCCAACAACAAGCCATATTGCTATAAGGTCTGGTTTCTACTTAACTCTACGAAGCTTGGTCATGTGATCCACGAGGCTACCGGAGGGGATCAAAGTTAGATTCCTTTAGAAGAAAAATAGGCATCATTATAATACTATGTTATGGCAACGATATTGAATTATCATATAAACTCCCAGTTTCTGTGGTAATTTCACATGGTCATTTTTTCGGTTTCCTTCCTATTCTATACTGATGTCCCGGTGCCTAGAATAGCATTTTCGGAGTTGTCGAGGTTGATTGTCGTCTATTAATGGCGAGCTCCGAAAATTACTTAGACCAGCCGCCGCTGTACCTATATTCATTTAAGCGTAAACACTTAAACACCTGGTACCCGTCCCTTAAAGCGGGTCAAGTTTGACATTTTCTTGTGGGGAGAAAGAAGTAAAAAGATATGGCTGATACTAGCTAACCGTTGACCGTTATCTTATCTAGACCAATCTCCTAAGAGATAATCGCCAACCTAGCTAGGCGGCCCGACAGATTAGTAAATTTAGTATGAGAAAATGTCGACATTAGATAGACTAATCATGGATAGAGCCAGAAGAACGGATTATTAGTATTGATGGACATCTGTTCTGCGCATGCTAGCGGTGAATGCAGGTACGTGTTCCGTGACAGCTGTTGGGTCAGTCTAGGATACATACACATTCGACCAATTATTGTATTTATGCTTACGTAAACACGAGCAAGCTAGGAGACCCCATGAGCTTGCAATTGATCAAGCATGCCCGGCCTGTAGACAGTACCTGGTTTACACACTCTCAAGCGGAGGCCTCTGCTACTTGGGGAGGCAGTCCCGAAGATGACCGCGTACCGAGGAACACCCGAATTCCCGGATGTTAGAGCTCGGAACCGGGATGTAGGTATTCTGGTACATACATGTACCCGATGAGATGATACTGATGTGTGGTTGTTACATGTAGTAAGTCTGTGTGTGTCCCTAGCGTATAGATTGAAATCTCAGCTAGCTGCTTGCATGTTCCCTGAAGACGACCTCGTCGACAGGTACCAAAGGTTTCCTAAAAAGACCCAAGGCAAGAATAGCCTCGAGAAGAAAGATCTAGCTCCCTAGAAAGAAAAAAAGAAAAAAATGGGCATGCATATACCTTAACCTGGAACCCAGGTCGGATGCGTGAAATCGAGGAGCGAATGGTCTAAAGGGGCTTTTGCCATTCTCTCAATTACGCGGTGTTTAGGAAACAATGCTATTGTGGTGGAATATGTAATGTTAGGTATGGATCATGGATTCTGACTCGCATCCGGTGCCTACGTAATATACACCTTTGTATTACAATCGAGCTAACAATGAGGAAATAGATAAAAACTTTCGAAATCAGTCTGCCAAGATTATCTCTCCGGCATGATCCGTGAGGACTGAGAACTGCGTATTTGGTCAATGGGTTCAGTGCGCATGCCAATCGCAATCTGATCCCTTCGAATAAATCATTTTTTGTTTAAGGATTTGCTATCCATTGAATATATTCTCTGGGAGAAGAAGTCTCGTCCAACATTTCTGTATTCTGACGTGTTTTTGATAGGAAAAGGGAAGAGTCGTCGACGGCATGTGCAGCATGGCATGGGTGCACAAAATCCATAAATACCATTAGCAGGAACCCACAACTGCCAAGGGAAGTCAGCAGACAACTACCGGACAACTTAACCCCGCTATTCTAAAGGCATTGCTTCCCGAGCCCGCTACATCGGGTGGTACTCTAATCAGACGGGGGGGACGGTGCTAAAACCAAGTTTCACATCTTGGACTTGGAATGGTTTGAAGCCTGAAACAAGATATTTATCAGAGCGTATGACCTGATGACGGATAGACCGTCTGGTAATGTTCTACGCAGATCTCTGAATGAAAAGGATCGCCGTCTAGTGCATAAGGACTGACAACATGCATATAATAGATCCATCTATACCCACATCAATATAGCTATAGGCGTGTTTACGTGATAAAAAACATGACTTGATAATCAGCTGTTCAACTGGGGCGAACAACCTTGATATTATATTGTAATCCTCTCAACCCCCCCCCCCCCCCAACCCCCGGGGGGACAGACCATATAAACCCCCACTGACGAGCGAGTGCAAGAGCTTAGAGGGCTATTGTCAAATCGCATATGGATACACTGCCGGTAGACCTCACTGGTTTAACCGGCCATACGTCCAGAAGTTTGGATCGTATCGTACACGTCAATTTGCAGCTGCATCTGGGTAGCGTAGCCGCTCAATATGCGATCTCATTTTCGCTTTCTTTATATTCGATCCTCGGGGGGAAATTTCTTTTTTGAAATCTTTTTCTTTACTACGACTATATGCCAAAGATGACAGGTCCAGCCGAGTAGAGGATCAATAACTACATGAAGGGAGTACATATAGTTGGTGCCAACATATGGAAGATAATGAAACCTCCTCGCCCCCCCCTCACTGTTTATAAACAGAGCTATTTCCATTATATATTGGAAATTTTATGATTGGCATTGTTTTAGGTTAGCTCGTTTGTTGGTTACTACTTGGCTAGCTTGATATCAAATCAAGCTTTCCATTGTTCGCCCGACGGGCCGGCAGGCAAGCATCAATTCGCAATTTGTGCACTTCTGTTGGTTGATAAAATATACCATGTCGTATTGGACTAGGCTTCAAGTCACGAGCCATGATTCATGCCTAGATTGGGCATAATTATATAGCCCAATAATCCTATTAAGGACCTTTTCCTTTTGGTGTTATTACGCACTCTCCGTCGGGGAGGTACTGGTCACACCTCACATCAATTCGCGATAGATTGGAACCCTACGATACAGTAAGATGGAGATGTTACTCGATGGCGGGGAAAGAAATTTGGGGAATCCGGCAGGCAGCAGCTAGAAAGAAGGCGGGAACCCATATGCGCGTATGACGCCTAAAGTAAATTGATTGTGAGTCTATTTATCTTCAACATTCCATATGGGCGACAATACTACATAGTGAGCTCTTGTTTGTTACGCCGGCGAAATGTGTGATGCCATTGATGCTTGGTCAACTGCGCTGGTACGACTAGAACCATGACAAAGAGCCAAGGTGGACAGTGATGGGTTTCTCGTTTTCTTGGTCTGAAGTGGTACTTTGCTACGATGCCGGCGACTTTGATGTTTGGATAATAAGGGTTGTATCTCATGAGGATAGTTATAGTTATGGAAGGTAGTGGGCTCATGAACGTCATTGCACATAGATATCTTCCACAATACCTTCCTTTCTGCGGAGACTCGTCCGCAAGACACTCATATATTGCAAGGTTACAATCTATGCCTGACCCACGTTTTTCCATTTCCGACATACGAGTACTCTTTTCAGCTCCCCAGGTAATGGAATAATGGGTGTGTGTCGATCATGATGAGAAACTCTGTAACACACTGTCGTATCATATCAGACTATGACTGCAGAAGCAGTATTTGGAACATGAATGCAAGGCCTTGCTTGAAATGTCCAGAGAAAAGACTGCTTCCCAGCGGCACTGTCTCTTATCTCCAATCCCTTTCGGTAACAACTTTAACCTCAACCCACCGCAAAAACCTGCGCCCTGTAAACCTTTTGACATGGTCTCACTTTCCCAATATCGTTATGGAAGAAACCTTCTACCAAAATTCGGTGAGTTGATCCAAAGAGTAAAAGTAAGGCTGGGAGAATCATCCCTCCAGGCCCAGTGTGTATTTTGAGGTATTTCCTGGTCCATTCACCGATGGCCGTGCATCTGATACACTTGAGAAATACCTTGCAGGCAGCGCGTTTAAGATCCATTCATACATGGTTATCCAGGAACATCGCCTGTCAAAAAACATCCTGACTTAGCCTGCTGCCGATAAATCCCTAGTGTTAATACCCCCATAAAATATCCCTTGCAAATGGCCTTGACCGAGGCAGATTCCGAATATCCTTTCGTGTAGGTATGTACGTATTGGGGAGAAGTGGGAGCAGGGATGATAGCTCAAACCGCGCGGGGCAAAAAAAATCAGACCACAAATTTCGATGAACTGCACAAATCCAGAGCACCGGGCAAAAGAAATTTGGCTAAGGGGGGGTAAGAGCGGAAAAAAAGTCACGCCATAATCAGGTGGCCTTTTTTTTTTCTTTCTTTCTTTCTTTCCCTCAGATATGAAGGTTGGTATTAGATTCCATCCGGGGGCACAGTGCACCTATACCAGATGCAGGGTCAGACCATAGCAATATCTTGATTTCTAAGATCTTCATTGGTGTTCTGTCGCGCCGGCGCTCTGGATCCATAAAGACGACGGTGACAAAGGATGGTTCTGGTAGGGCTGCTGCGGGACGCTATGCGTCTACTCTATCTCGGTGTTCAAGTTTGCCGTACACAAGGGACGGATGAGATGTCAGAGTAGATGTGGAGTAAACTGTAGTCATCCGTGGTTGTCACAATTGGGAAGTTATGTGTGGAACTTCTAGAGCCCCCATTCCTTGAGGTTAGAAAATATTGCTGGACGTGCTCCAGTGGGTCGTTTTTGAGGTGACTTTTGTTGCCTCGACGCCATAGATTCACAGCCAGCTGAGGTTGTTGTGTTTCTGCTTGTACAGCTGTCAAAATCATCCGTTCGAATCCGGCTTCATTCAGCCTTCCCACCCCTCTGGTTTACTTTTGCTTGTTCGTTTCCCGAGAACTCGTATCATAACCTCCTAATTCTGGTATTACCCGTCGGCCGAGATTCTCCCACCCAGTCCATTACAAAGAACCAGTGTGTCTCTGAATGTGCGTTCGGGATCACGTCGCAAGCCTCTTTGAGAACGCCACCTGAGATCGATAAGCGTAGCGAACCCAACGGAGGCGTTTGATTGTGGGAGAGATTTGTTAGATCAGTATCCAAAAACGCATGCAGAGTTTCTCACATCTCACGAGCCTCTGAGTGCTCCATGCATCAGGATCCTTCGGCATCAAAAGCGTTTGCAGCTAACCCCTTTCCTCTTGCAGGTGGATTTCGTGGCTGCTTGTCTGGCTGCCATTGATTGAGTCGCACCATTTACCTCCGAGCCTCTCTATTTCGGAGAGACAAACGTGAAGAAAGATAAAAGAAAGGAATAGCGAGGAAGAACGGGATTGGGATAGAAAAAGGCAAGGGAAAAAAAGGAAAGGAAAAAAAAGAAAGGAAAAAAAAAAGAAGGGAAAAAAAAACTAAAGAAACTAAAACTAAAAAAAAAAAAACTCCCAGCTTCCGGGTTTCGCAATCTACCAAATCTCATAGATTTTCTTCCTTATTATTCTTCTCCTTCCCCATCATCATACTCCTCATTTTTACTCACCCATCCCACTTTTTGCGGCAACCCAAAATCCTAAAAAATAAATATATAAAAAAGGAAAAGAAGTTTGTGCGACAACCTGTACTCTACAAAAGTAGGTCAGGCAACTTGAACCCATCAGCTCATCGCATCTGTTGTAGAGGCCAAAGGGCAATCAGGCGGCGCTAGCAGGAAAGCAGTGTGATCGGGTAACATTGGGTGATTTCTCTCTCTCCAGTTTCCATATATACTACTTCAACTGCGTCCTTCCCACCCACCCCGCATATCATTGTGCACGCGGAGACCCGGTTACAATCTCCACTACAGACAGCTCTACCTATCCAAAGTTGTTATTGTTCTCAGCAGTTGTCTATATAAACGGTTTCTAGCAGCTACGAACATCGTAAAACAGCACGGAAAATGACTGTCATGGAGGGTACCGACCGTCAGGAGATCGTCATAATAGGTGAGAAAATTTTCCTCTTGATTTTCCCAATGTTGTTAAATTCTGGGGGGGTTTTTTTTTTAATTCATTAATTGCATGCTAAATTCTGGTTACATAGGCGGTGGCATTATTGGTTGTACGACAGCATATTACCTGACAAGACATCCTGCCTACGATCCATCGAAGCATTCCATAACGGTAATCGAGGCTACAAGAATAGCTGGTGGAGCATCTGGAAAGGCTGGAGGACTTCTTGCAGTATGGGCGTATCCAAACAACATTGTTCCCCTGAGCTTTAAGCTACATCAAGATTTGGCACAGGAACATGGTGGTGAAGAGAATTGGGGTTACAGAAAGGTGTCGTGCGGAAATTTGGAAGCAACGGGCCGAGGGAGGAACGAGCTGGAACGATTAGGTGGACAAGCTGGAATGTCATTGGGAAAGAGGAGCGGAGAGAAGGGGAGGAAGGTCACCAATGGAGGAAGGAGTGCGCTTCCCAAAGACCTAGACTGGATACTGCCAGATCTTATCAAGGGATACGAAAAGATGGGAGGAAGTAAGGAAACAGCACAAGTGCACCCTTATCAGTTCACGATGGCTATGATTCGTCTTGCGGAAGAACAGGGCGTCAAGGTCATAATCGGATCTGTTCAAGCCATTAACTATGCTGAAGCCAGTCCATCGCCCACCCCAATCACTCCTCCAGCAGAAGACAATAGTTATTTGTCGGGTCCACCATCTCCAGCGCTCTCGTCGGTATCTTTGGGTTCTTTTTCATCAGGCCGTAGTACTCGTCGAAAGGTAAAATCAGTAACATACAAGGATCGTGAGACGGAAGAAATACATACAATTCCATCTACAACAACCATTCTTGCGGCAGGACCATGGACTTCAAAACTTTACCCTTCTGCTCCGATATCTGGGCTACGAGCACATAGTGTTACCATTACCCCGGCCTCACCTGTTTCGGCTTATGCTTTGTTCACCGAGATAACTATTCCTCCTACACCACCATCTCCATCATACCGGTATCATTCATCACGGAATATCCAGGCGGAACCGGTATCTCCAGAGATATATTCACGCCCAAATAATGAAATATATGTTTGTGGTGAAGGGGATATGGAAGTGGAGGTTCCCGAGACGACCGCAGACGTGGAAGTGGATGAGAATCGTTGTGATGACCTGATAGCTCAGGTCAGCTCTATATCGGACCATATTCGACTTGGACGGGTAACAAGAAAACAAGCTTGCTATCTGCCAATTCTAAGTGTGGGTGGCCATGGTGGACCTTTGATCGGTGAAACGGGAACTGAAGGCCTCTTGATGGCTACGGGCCATAGTTGTTGGGGTATTAATAATGCGCCGGCCACTGGAAAATTGATAAGTGAAATGGTCTTCGACGGAAAGGCCATTAGTGCAGATATCGGCCAGCTGGATCCACGAAGGATACTGTGAGTTCGATAGAAGAGAAAGAAGAGATGTGCAAACCGGATTGACACACCACTCCACTCCGCGGCGCACAAACATTATTTCAGTTTCCCTTATTACTTGTCTTCTTGGATTGTCGTTGTTGAAAAACTGACAATCAAATATGGATGAAGTTTCACTCTTGGATTATTTTTGGTACGCAATCAGACGCGGAAGAGAGGCGTCCGCGGTTTCTGCATCTATACCAGGATTGCGATATCTGAAAAAGCCGCGGCTCAACCGTCTCTGTCGACAACTACACCAAGGTGTTTAGTTTTTTATTTAATTTCTCATACTACCCTGAACAAAAATTTCCTTTGTTGGCGGAGGGGTGTGTGTTGGGGATGACATTATTATCTAGGGTTCTCAATGCGTTTTCCCATCCTTTTTTTTTTTTTTTAGCGATTTCCTTTTTCATTTAGTACACTGCTTTCCATCTGATTCTCGTTACGCGCATGGTTCACGGAGCAGGCTGGGTTGTTATCCTTTTTATTCTTTCCTTATTTCACTTACTACTATCTTACCTCTATTACATTGACACGATTCACATCACTTCCATCTGTTAAATTTTTCATCAAACCACTCCACCTTGGCTGGCCAGGAATGGTTTCTTCTTCTAGCTCGATATCTAGTTCCGCTTTTTTTATTCTTTCGTTTTCTGGGATAGGGAACGGACGGCGATGCCTTTTCTGAGTTTTATGGCTATTGGTATTGGTTTCTACACTGTCAACAATTAACTGTTTATGGGCGTGAAATGATACGATGAATGGAACTATTCATGTAAATTATATAACCAATCACGGGCCGAGATGTTTACCGACAGGGAAGCCGCTAGTAAGGCTTCGTTTACATTTAATCCCACGAAACTGTGAAAACAAAAAGGGGTAATATTGAGCTTTGGCTCTTGAAGTGTTTGTTGCGGTGTCTCGTTGCAACGCAACATGATTGGCGGACCAGGATGACAGTATCCAAGTCAGGGTTGTGATTGATCATAGGGAATTCCGTATTTGTTCCAAATGCATTCTGGCGACTTGAATTTCATATATTCGTTAATATATGATTCGAAGATGGATCCAAATTTAAATGTAGCCCCATATCTACATTACTACACTTCGAACCCTTACAATATATTCTTGGACCACAGACGTGTATCTGTAGTTAATAATTAGTGGTACGCACACCCACCCATTAATTAAGTCCTGAGAATTCTTGGTAGCAACGACCTCACAAAATTTCTGAGGACTTAATTTACGCGCGAGTATATATCATATTAATTCACCACTACGAGAGGTGCATGTCTTGCTGACATTCCACATTCCACAGGCCTGACATTCTATCATAAAGTGTACATACCAATTACTTTATTCATAAGAAGAATTAAGTATAGAGAACTGACGTATTTAGTACTATTAATAATGGAAAAGTATTGTAATGCTATAAATTCAGCGCTGAATCATTGTCTGGTCGGAATAAGGAGATTGGTTGTTAAAGTAGGTGCTGGAAGATTATCAGTTGATTGTCTTGGCGTTGTTTGGTCGAGTGATAAGATGTGATTGAAGTGAGCACCTAACTCTGGGATTGGAAATCATGCAAGTCCCCATCAAAAAATTTGTATCAGTAACAGCTTATGTACTTTCAGGCTTATTTAATAGGCCACTCGAATCACATGTAATACAAGGGTTGCAGGACTTGTGTATAAATGGTCAGCCGGAGTATCCACATCATGCTGTTGCTTTTCTGGGCTCATCATGCATAGCCTGGTAGAGAGATGCCTCGAAATGAGCACTAGTCGAGGGTATAGGGGCATATAAAGGTGTAGTTAGACACTGACAGCTGTTTTGACACCTAACCCTGGTGCCAAGCCGACCCTCACTGAATTATTGTCTTGGAACAACTCATCATGTAGGTACTGTGCTGTAATATTCGGGAAATGTGTAATTTGGAAAATAAATAAAGAGTAATGTACACGAAGAAACAACCCTAAGTTCGCAAGCACCACTCGTCACAAACGTATTGCAAAGAATTAAGAGAATATACTTTCCATAAAAACACCCAAACGGATCCCAATCAACTTTAAATCATGACAAACCCACCCAGACCGTCCAATCCTCCCCTTATCCCTCCAACCTCTACAATCCCCTCTTCCCGCCCAAGCTCGTAACTGTTTATACTTCCGTCAACATAAACCATCATCAACCTCCATCTTTTTCTTCCCCATACACCCAGACCTCCACCTCTTCCCCTTCGTCTCTCTTGTACTGGGCTCACTGCAACTCCTAGCAATACTGATGGGCGTCTTTCTCTTCCGCGTTCATTCACTTCGTCTTCACGGGGAAGAATAGTATCTAGACGCATACCGAATATGTCTCCGACACGGGTTAGTCGGAAGATTGCAGCACGTCCTTTCTGGGAGGCGGCGATGACGAGGGAAAGGTCAGGAATGCAATGAACCATATTGAGGCGGTCGATATCACTAAAATATTGTACAGTCGGGGGTTGGTTTTGCTGATGAAGCGGAAAAAAGCAGACTACATTGGGTGTGAGGTATGGGGTAAGTGTAAGGAGTTGGCAATTCCGTTCTGTTGTTGAGAAGATGAAAGAGACCGGAGGCTAGGTTGTTTATTAGATTGCATGTTCCGTATTAGAATGAAAAAGGTTCAGCACAAACCTGCACAGGCTTCTCCTCCCCTTCGTCCTCATCTGCGTCATCATACTCATCATCTCTATCTCCATCGTGTGCTTTTCGTCTTTTTCCATTATCATGAGCTCTGCCAGTCTCACACGATTTGTCGCCTTCTCCTTCACTATCCTGAACAAACTCAACAACGCGCACAGGTCCAATTGTATCGAGAATATTATCGCGCTGTTCGCCATCGTCTTCGAGACCGGACCCAACATCTGTAGTGCCAACGACGGAAGCAGGAACAGAATGGTAAGTCTCTGCTGTTTCCTCCTGAGAGTCAGTTGCGGTCGTAGATGCACTGGTATCGGTCTCGCTCCCTTCCTCAGTTAAAAGTTCGACATGTCCTCCTCCGGGAACTATGAAAACCTGAACTTCATGGCCGTCTACATCCTCGCTACTTTGGTGTGACTCATCATCCCCCTCCTCCTCATCCAAATAGTCATCATAATCATCAGAGCGTTCATCGGGCATAAAAATACGAGAAGTGCTCTGATGGGCGGTGTGTGGTGATATATCCCATGCACGAGCTTCATGGAAACGTGGGTTCGTCGGTGGATCGTAGTAGTCTGTGGGGAGTGTCTGAATACCATGGATAGTATTCTTCCGGGGTTCTCGACCAACCTGCGAGGGAATAGGTTTTCCAAGGGCTTCGTAGATGTTTGAGACTGGTTTAAAGGCTTGAGGCTTTAGGAATAGCACGGACCAGCCCATACTAGGGTAGAAAAAAGGCAGTTTAGTGTGTGTACCTCGTAAACGAATATTGGTAAGCAGGTGTCCTTCAAGAGTATGGAATCTTACGAATGAAACCCCATTTTACACTTCTCTACAGCCCGCTCCGTGGTCACATCCCACAAAATAACAGTCCCATCGATAGATGTCCCCACTAACCAACGCCCGCTTGGGTCGCCCAAGAATGAGATGTTTGGAATATTATGACCGTGACCAATGAGTGTCTTAACTGTTTTATCCTTCAATGGGGACTTTTTCCCACGCCTGCGTTTACAGCCTGCACATATAGAATCATCCTCCGATACATCACTATCATCCGGGGACCGGGACTCTGCTCGTCTCCTCCGGCGACGTTTCCGGCCTCCATTGTGCGACCTTCCGCAGTCTTCATCCCCGAGTACTGATTTCTCTTCTCCCTCCATATATTCGTCCTCATCGTCCCTTTCTCCTTCTTCGAGATTCCGGCCAATTGCCAATTCGAATACTGAGATTTGATGTGTGTTCGCGCTCACTGCTAAGAGTCGCCTCTCCTTGTGCAACGCAACGCCCCATGCACTCTTGCCGACACTTAACCGGAACGCGATCCTTCGTAGGTCGCGAGTATACCACGCACAGACATCTCCATCGTCATGAGCACTGACTAGAACCTCTTCAAAACCGAGCTCGCCAACGGTGAGGGAGTTTATGGCGTGTGGGTCTTGGGGATCGATGAACCCCGCGGCAGTCGGCGAGGCCGCGGAGGTAAGGGTTGTGTAGGGTGTTGTCGTCGGAATGGTCTGATATGGATATTTCGGTGCATAAACACGGATTGTGGAACGCACTGCTATGAAGAGATAGTTATGGCGTTTGGATGCTGCAACCTAAATATGGGTGTGAAAATATTAGTTATAAATTCGGTGAAGTTTGGGAAAGGGGGGGGGGGATTTACCACATTGTTGCGCCAGTAAGAAACGTCATCGAGCTCACTTTTTGTGGCGCCATGGTCAGTTTATCACACAATTGCTAATGTGTGGGCGAGATTGGAATGCTTACATCTATGGAATCGATACATCATGTTAGTGCCAATGCTTTCTCTTGCAGAAATCTGGGAATTCGTGAATACAGAGTGGAAAGAGAGAGGCAGAAATACCTTCTGTTCTCCAAGAAACGAAACGTCGACCGGCTTGTACGGTTGCAAATTCTTATTTGCCATGATTTATTTGCTCCGCGGCCGGCAGAATCGCATAACAGATAACAGAATACACCTTTTCTGGGGGAACCGGTTTATCCAAGAGCGAGTAGAGAAAGCTCTGAGACAAGCAAAACACACAGGGACAGAGTAGATAAAGATTTAGGTGCGATTATAATATACGTACAAAGCGATCCTCCCGGAAGGTTATGGGGTTAGCAGGAGTGGAGAAGACAAGGTGGGTAGATATTGAGGTAGAGGGAAAGAGGAGTGAGTGCAGGTAGACGGAGAGGTAGGGCCAAGCAGGGAGATAGGCTTCACAATGAGAAACCCTGTAAAAAAAAGTGAGGACCAACAGCTTTCGAGACCGAGATACAGGGAAGGCGAGGGGAATGAGGTAGAAGTAAT